TATTTCTTAGATCTTTTAAGGCTTCAGTGTAATGCTTAAGTTCAATTTGAAATAATGTAATGTTAGGTTTATAATTAGTCCATTTGGGTATTTCCCCTACGTAAGTATTAAATTAATCACCGGATTTTGCTCCAAACTCTTATTTTTATACAACAAAATATATATCTTTACCAGAGAATCGAATCTTTTAGTTTTATAGATTTAAATATAAGATATTCAATTTCAATCCAAAACATATGTGTCCCTGCAGCACAAAAGCAGTGTTGAGTCGCTGGGGTATATTTGTAGCAATAGCCAACAATACAGTGTATGGGTCACAATTATACATTTCTCTTTTATGCCAAAAATCATTAGGATATTAAGTAAAGATCATGTTCCTTGAAGATATTTTGTAAATTTCCTACCGTAAATATATCAAAACTTAATGTTTGATTAGTAATATGCATTGCTAAGAACTTCATTCGAACAACTTTAAAGATGATTTTCTCAATATTTAGATTTTTTTGCACCCTCAGATTCCAGATTTTCTAATAGTTGTATCTCAGCCAAATATTGTCCGATCCTAACAAACCATACATCAATGGAAAGCTTATTTATTCAGCTTTATTCAGATGATGCATACATCTCAATTTCAAAAAATTGACCCTTATGACTGGTTTTGTGCTCCTGGGTCACGTTTAGGTAAATGTGTCTGTCTCTTTAAGAGAAATTACACGAGAACCTACACGTCATGTACGTGCTCTGCTAAGCGCCTGAAAACTCGTACGTGATTGGTCCGGGCGTGTTCCGCTCGACGTGATTGGTCCGGGCGTGTTCCGCTCGACGTGATTGGTCCGGGCGTGTTCCGCTCGACGTGATTGGTCCGGGGAGTCACCTTGCTGTACGCAGCGCAGGAGTTCTCCAGAATCCCGAACCAGCACCGAGCCATGGCAGCCGCAGCGGACACGGCCAAGACCAGGCCCAAAACCTCGCCCAAATCGATTAAGTTCCTCTTCGGTGGCTTGGCGTTGTATGAGCGGGTATTGATGAGGGAGTGACATCTGCTAATGATCAGAGGATCAGCACAAAGCGTGTCTGGTTTCTCTCTCTCTCTCTGTGTGTGTGTGTGTGTGTGTGTGTGTGTGTGTGTGTGTGTGTGTGTGTGTGTGTGTGTGTGTGTGTGTGTGTGTGTGAGCGTGTGAGC